TCACTATTCATTATATAAAATATATCAATGTTTTATTTATTTATTATTCGAATAAAATTTACCCAACTGTGGCTTGTATCCCGCTATTTCCAAAGACAAGTTAATATTTGTTTGGAGGTTAAGTAATTGGCTAGGACTATAACTATTAGTACGAAATATTTTGATAAATTTCCTGATCAGCCATGCATGCTCTTAAATCTATTTTTTCAAAAAATGCACTTATCATCCTTTGCCTCTAGGGTCATCATTTAATGCCTATTGTTGTAAATTTTATTGAAATTTTAATATCATCAGTAACATTACAACTATTTCAACAAAAATTGAGGTACCGATGTATATGATGAATGTTGAGATTGTTCCAGTCAACCGTACAATATACCGAGTGTTGAGGATATTCAAGGGGTTGAATGTCCTACTCGATAGCACAAAGAAAGTGTTACCGAATACCAAAACATTTTTTATTAAAGAGAGAGTGGAAATTTTTCTTTTTCCTCAAGAACTTTTTAAAAATAATAACAAGGATATATAATTTTTCTGCTGGGATAAATTAAAATATGAATATGTATTCTTACTCTAAGTTAACTTTCTTCTCAATAAACGATGTTTAAAATAGAAAATTTAAAATTGTAAAACATTCTTTCTCGACTCCGCTATTGTCGAAATAAAAATGTTTCTTATATTTTTTACAGATAAATTTTAATTTTAAAATATTTTCATACACATATATTTCATACACATATACATATACACATATACACATATATTTCATACACATATATTTCAAGGTCATATATTCCGTCCTGATTACTTATAAATACTAAAATGGTATAGTATTACTGTTTAATAAACTGGTTTAGATTTTGATATCATTAAAAGACTAAAAAAAAAAAAAAACTAAACTAAAATATAAATAATAATTACCAATCTCCTATATTTCAAATTGACAAATAACCAATCAGTACATCAGCTAAATGAAAATTCATTTTAACGAAATAAAAAACGGTGTTTAATGACAGTTACAATTAGCTGTTGCAAGACCAAGACAAAGAATGCTAAAAAAAAATAAAAAAAAGAATGAAAATTAAGGCAAAAAAGTAACTAATACCTGGCAATTTTAGTTACTATATGTAAAGAATTGGTATAACCAATATACTTATGCATTTAGCTCCTCTAATTTTTCATTTGGGCTTAGTTAGGTTTCTTCTATCTACAAAATAACAGTAATATCTCTATAGTAATAAGCTAATAGGTAACTGCAAGACTGCTGCGAGACTCTTGAGCTAGACCAAGACCTATACCAAGACTGAGTTTGCGTGAACAATACTCGTCTTGGTTTCGCATTTGGGCAACATGACATTATAAGAATATTTTTTCTTGGTGCTCGTTTCTTTGTAAAACAGATATGTAAACATGTTTATATTTTTGTTTAAAGTTTAATTTTGTTTTTGAAATTATTTTATATAAAAAAAAAAAGTGGTTTACGTATGTATCACTCTGCCCTTGTCATTGAGGCTTGTAAGTACTAGTCGTTCCCCTGTAGACAGCATCCGATATTTAAAGATCACTACCAATGTTGTACGTGGCTTATTATGGTATTTTTTCAATAGCTGTGGACATGCTTAACATCATTGAAAAGTTGGTCGAGGTAATCATTGAAAGCAAATATTTATGCCTGCCTTAGACAGGTGAGGTTGGCGCACTGTGGAATAAATAAATATGAGAAAAACCGCACAAACAAAATTGTGACTTTTTTGTTTTTATTATACTCAGTTTGCAAATCGTTTTAATGGTAAAATTTTAATAAATATGTTTAAAATTTACTTTCATCCAACCAGTACTAAACCTCGTGGTGAGTTAGGCCTCATGATAGCCACTACCATCGTCATCTCGATGCACTGCAGCTTTCTAGTTCCTTACTTCAAAGATGCACATAGGTGCAGAGATCGTTGGGAGAGGAGGGAAGGAAAAGGGAGGAGGGGGACGATCCCTCCCAATAAAAATAGATTGAGGGAGAGGATATAGTCCCCCCTAATATTACGAATAACAATAATTATGAACAACTAAAATCAAAATCAATAACCTTTAATCTTCATGAATGTGTCAAACATGTATACTAAAATCAATTATAACAATAGGAAAAGTCAACTAAATGGCTAAGCAAAGGTCTAGAATAGGAACGCAAGTATTTTACCACGTTCTATGTCCCTATTATTGAAACTTTAGTTTATATTGAAAGATAATTATTTTATTTAGTTTATATTCAAAGATAATTATATTGTTTTAGTTGATATTCAAAAATAATTATATTATTTAGTATATATTCAAAGATAATTATATTGTCTAGTTTATATTCAAAGATAATTATATTGTCTAGTTTATATTCAAAGATAATTATATTGTTTATTTTATATTCAAAGATAATTATATTGTTTAGTTTATATTAAAAAATAACTATATTGTTTATTTTATATTGTAATTATACTTTGGTATTATGGCGTTTTACAATAGCTATCTTGATTATGTTAATTATCACTCATAATTTGTATTCATAACATAAACTCCCGAGACATATTTTTCAAGAGGAAGTCCATTGTCCCTCCCTCAACTAGAATGGAAAGTCTGCCCGCCTATGACCACACATACTTCGTCGCTCCATCGATCCACTGCAGTCTAGACTAAATGGCTCTTCTCTTGGCGTATAGCTTTTTTTGCAGAAGTTTCTTTGGGTTCTCATCGTCCGTCATTCTAGCGAAGCCACCTAAACTTAATAAATCTGACGACTTTTATATGATTAAACAGTACTGCTGCCATTTCAGCATTTGTTCTCTGCCGTCAAGCATTGTTGCTGAAAACTGGCCCAAATATTCTTTTAATGGTCCGCTGCTAGGAACATTAGTTCTTGAGTTCGAGAACTCGTCCAGAATTTAGACGCATAACTCATTAAATTATATGATGCAAAACTAGATGTTTTTAAATTGTGTGTTACTCAAGTAAAATGGTATTTAGATTAACTTGTAAATATCATATAGTAAGAACACTGTTTTCAGAAAGTTTAAAAAAAAAAAAAAAAACTGTTTTTCTTATAACCAACATTATTAGATAATTTAAATTTTTCACCTTTACCAGAGTACATCAGAGTATATAGTATACAAGAAATACGGTAATGTTCCAAATTGTGTTGACGGAGGGACTTCCAAATATTATCGTGAGGTATTATGCAAAAGTAATATACAACAATTTCATTCGATTTTACTGCTCACTTGATGAATTAGTAATATTTGAACATGCTCACTTGTTGAATTAGTAATATTTGAACATGTCCTAACGAAATACAAACTGTATTTTTTTCCCTTTATTCCTTCTACGCTACCGCGGCACAAGACCAGAACGAAGATAAGGGCAAAGAGGGAACGTACTCCTTCGATCGAAATTTTATTTTAAAGTTAATTAAAAGAAACCGTTCGCCGTTTCCGACTACTCCAGCACTTACTAGACAGACGCTCTATGCTTTCAGTTAATCGCAAAAGACTCATATACATGACTAGAATATGACCTATTTGGACTTATGGATTTCTTTCTACTTTTTCTTACTTTAATTCAGTCAATAAAATGCGTTAGTGTTATAATATTTATATTAGAATATATTGCCTAAAATTCTGTTATAAAACTGTTGACTTGTGTTGGAAAGGGCATAAGCTGGGTGGGGAAAATTAAGCTTCCCTTCTGGATGTTTTTTCTCGCGGCAGTATATCAATTTTTTCACATAAGATATTATTTTTTTAACGTTGTCCAATTTCAGCTACTAGAAGGAAAGATACTAAGTTTTATTCTGGGACATTTAGTCCCCTCTGAATAACTACAATGAACAAAGAAATGAAAATTTTCTGGCGACTGTGAATAATTAAATAACAATTTAAAATAAATTAATTTACAAAGTTGTTTAGCCTTAATATTAAAATGAAGAAACAAGATTTTTTTTCATAATATTAAAAATAAAGACACTGTAGGAAACATATGATCTTGTAGTAGACATATGAATTTAGAGATAATTACATACAAATGAGTTCCCGTATTTGTACAAATAAGCAATATGACACATACATAGATATCTGTAAGATATCGGTATAGTGTAACTGACATCTCTAAAGTACAAAATAACTTTATTTTACATGTATTCAGAAGATTGATTACTGAGTAGATGAAAAAATAAATTATGTTTAAATGAGGTCAAGGATGAGAATTTCCATAAAGAAATTGATAGAGAATTCCAAAACGAGCTAGCACGTATGACGAAGAAATTTTTAAAGGAAACAGTTCTATGAGAAGAAATCAACAAATTTGAGGATTGGATCCCATGTTAAACGAATGAACAGAGAAACAAAGAGTAGAGAAATCAAGAAGGTAAGAAGGTTTTTTCGTTGTAAGGGCTCGGAAAAGAAATACACCTAGGAAATATTGCCGTCGGAAAACTGGATAGAGCCACTTAAACTCGGCATGCAACTGGAGACGTGGGAGCGCCTGGGGACTCCAATTATAAATCTAATGAAACAATTCATTAGCCTCTATACTCATAAAAAATACTAATATAATAAATATACTATTGATGTATATTTAAACTGACAAATATTATTAAATTAAAATAATGAGGAATTAGCCTGTAATCCTTTATTAAAACAAATACCAAGTTATGGAAAAAAAGGGCACTTTATAGTGGATCACTGTTATTATTTAGTATTTAAAGTGCAAAAGAAATACAAAAAAGAAGGGCTTCGGGTTAAAAAAAAATCTATTTATTTCATAATAAAGGCAAGATCACACTAATTAGTTTCGGGAGAATTAAACTTACAAGATTATTTTTGATGATAATATGAAGGGGCTTCTCCGCTAAAGTTGGCCCTATGCTTAACTATCTACGATCTCGGGTTTTATGGTTGTTTGTTTTTATTTATTTTGTATATTGGACTATACATTTTATTATAATCATTTTATTTATTTTCCAGTTTTGGCAGGTGATATCAGAAGAACATGGAATAGACGTAACAGGCCATTATGCTGGCACTTCTGATTTACAACTTGAAAGAATAAGTGTTTACTATAATGAAGCAACTTGTAAGATATATATTATTTTAATTAGTGTAGCCAATCGCTTCACGATAATTTCCTTTATTGCTTTTTAAATTATATACTTTTTTGCATGACCATAGTCCATTTTATTTTTTTCTTTATTACCATTAACAATATACCACCACTATAAAACAGTTTAACTCCCCTCCCTCCACCCTCCACAATCCATTAATTTACATTTATCATTTGCTGGTATTAATTCTATATTTTATTTATCAACGTTTATTATATACATGAGTTGTGCGGTTTATTATTTGTGAGTGTTGTTATTTAAATATTAATAATTTACCACATTTTAAGTCAATAATTTATAATAATACAGTAGTTAGAATTTTCAAGGGTTTAATTGAATTCTTGTGAAAAATACTCAGATGTCGTTACTCTGTTAGGTCTTCATATTTGATCTCGCATGACATGAACCTGGAATTGAGTTCATCAATTCATCTCTCACGTAGGCATTGTAAGAGTGTTTATCTATTAATTTTTCACGTCTTTCTATTCTTCATCCGCATTCATTCAAAATTTGTTTTATTTTTTTTTATTATTTTAAAATTAATACATTCTGCCAAATTGGAGGGCATTAATATTAGCGCTACATTAAACATTCACACAATATATACATAGAAATGATAACTAAAATAGAGATAAAAGAAAAACAGTTGTAGAAAGTAAAATAAGAAAATTTAACATACATATGGGAAAAAAACAAAAACAAATTAGAGAGAAACTAAATGAAATTAAAATATATAAAACACATTCACATCTATATACAACATTCAAAATTATACTCAATATTTTTGCGAACGTGTCATTTATGAATTTGTATTTAATAATAAGTGGCAAGAGAAATCATGGAAAAACTGAAGGATCTTTGGTTACGATCTTTGAAGCTGTGCAAATTTCCATCAACTTAGTTAGGTAGTGGTAATTGCTTTCTGCCTATTTGGAGTCGACATTATACAGAATTATCCACCGATAAATGTTCTTCTGAGATTAACCTCCTCCATACTAATATCATCAAATATTAAACTAAAAAAAAAAAAATAAAAAAAATAATAATAAAAAAATACCATACATGTATCTAATATTACGTTAATATGATGAATAAATGGAGTGTATTCGAAAATGTTGTTAAAACACAGGGGAATAAACAGGTTTATAATATAATCCGGTGTGTTGCATAAGAATGTTGCATTGTCATCACCACGTATTCGATAGATTTATCAAATTTTATGTAATTTATTTTTGTTATTTACTATTATCTAACCCAGATTTTTTTCTTAAAGCATCATTGTTGTTCAAGGCATTAATATATTTTTCACTCAAATCGTAAATTATTAGTTAGATATTGTATGATTTCGTCACTTTGTTTTGAATAACGTAAATCTACACTTCCATGATGACATTATTCATTTTAATTATAATATTTCTTTAGCTCCTAGGTCAGACTCGACAAAGCATGTACCTAGGGCTGTACTGTTGGACTTGGAACCAGGAACAATGGATTCCTTGAGATCAGGCCCTTATGGGCAAATATTCAGACCTGATAACTTTGTCTTTGGACAGTCCGGAGCTGGTAACAACTGGGCTAAGGGTCACTACACAGAGGGAGCAGAACTCGTTGATGCTGTACTAGATGTTGTTAGAAAAGAAGCCGAAAACTGTGATTGCTTACAGGTACTTGAATAATGTTTACAAGTCAGGAAGCTTTTAAAAAAAACATTACTTGAACCACTTATGTTTTTTAGGGTTTTCAACTAACGCACTCCCTCGGAGGTGGTACTGGAAGTGGCCTAGGGACATTACTAATATCTAAGATTCGAGAAGAGTATCCTGACCGGATCATGAATACTTATTCCGTAATGCCTTCGCCTAAGGTAATAAAACAACAATAATATCTTTTTTTTTTTAATTTTAATGGAATATATCTACAGCCACTCTGCAAAAGCCTGTAAGAAAAAAAACTAAAACTTTTCAGGAGACGAAAAAACTGCGTAATTTTTGTTGTTTGAGCATTATATTTTCAGTTAATTTTTTTTTTTTTTTGGCAGGCCTAAGACAAAGATGTAATACTCTATGTAACTTTTTTAATCGTATTTTTTTTTAAAGAAAATATATTTTGTTATTCTGAGACTTTTGTCCCTTTAGAATAAATTATAAGTATAGAATGCATGTCTGTGTGGTCATAAATAATATTATTTCTGTCAATTAATCTTTTAGAGCCATTACTTCTAACTTAGCTTTTTAGTTACTTTGAACAACAGGCACTAGTAAGGTAGATACAATCAAATTTATGGTAGTAACACCCATAAATTTGTTGATAAAATGACGACAGGAACAAAGTCGGTTTCCAAAATGTAGAGAAATAGCACTTCAAATCACGGGCGGATCTACGGGGGGGGGGGCTTTCGGGCTGAAGCCCCCCCCCAAAATGGAAAAATATAACCATGTTTTATGGGGAAAAAAATTTAAAAATACCTCTTAAAGTATTATTGTTCGTGTAATTACATTTAAAAGTACTTATGGAATAACTTAAACACCATTTCATATAGGTAGTTAGTTTCTTTCTGTTTTTCCAAAGTAATTATCGTTATTTTTATGAAAAAAAAAGGTTTCGGGCTGAAGCCCCCCCCAAAAATAAATCCTGGATTCGCTAGTGCTTCAAATGGAAATTTGTAAAACATTTGACTGAAAAGCGAGTATTTGATCACAAGAGTAATTCACTTTTGTCCCCCACAGTAGGGGTAGCTCGAACTGAGTTCATGCGCCCCATTTTGGAGTAGTATATGAAAGTTTGGTACATCGTTTGAGTCACGAATGCTTGGTAAGTTCTAGGTAACTTGCTGATATGTAGATCACCAGCGGATCCAGCATTTAATTTTGGGGGAGGGGGGAGGGGGGGCTTCAGCCCGAAAGTTTTTTTTTTCATATACATATAACGATAATTAATTTGAAAAAAAAATTAATTAATTATCTATATGAAATGGTGTTTAAGTGGTTCTTGAAGTCCTATTAACTGTAATTACACGAACAACAATACTTTAAGAGATAGTTTTTAATATTTTTTTCTGTAAAATTTCGAAGATTCATTGTTTTGAAAAGATGAAACTAGAGTTCTTTTGACGTTTCTTGTTAAATTTTCCAAATAACGAAATCAATTCTCGATCTCTCACTATCTGGAATTCGGCGGCTTTGTGGTTTTTTTTTTTTTTTTCCAGTCAAGCTCGTCTTGCAGTTGCCATAAGGTTTCGATTGTTTTGAAGACCATTCACTATTATATTCCCGCTTACTTACTTATTATACTCCACTCTTGTCTTTGCTTCGTCTAGTTCCATTGTAAGCAGTGCTGGGCAGAGAAACCCAGGGATTTGCCGAGCTAGAAGTGCCCGCCATTTATTAGAAATTTAAAAAAAGAATATAAAGCGAATGAGAAAAATTAATTTTAGCCTATTAATAAAGCTAATTGACACTCTAGTCTATGCGTAAAACGCTTTATACATTCTATATTTTTATAACTACCTTTTATTGAGCGTTTCATTATGTTTTTCTTTTTCGGTAACGGCACAATTTCTATAACCTTCACTGTAACTTACAGGTTTTTATATCACAATTTGCTAGTTTTAAGTTGCAAGTTTAAGTTTTTACAAAAGGCCGTAGAGAAGAAATAAAACATCTCTACATCACTATACTATAAACTATACTATACTACACTATACACACTATACTACACTATACTACACTATACTAAACTACACTATACTCACTATACTATACTACTATAAAACATCTCTACATCACTATAAAACATCTTAGATTTCATTTTGTGGGATCAGAATATGCACCAAGTCAAGATTGACCAGAAAATCTCAAAACCTCATTTTCCAAAGAAATTATCCTTACAGGATTTTGCAGTGTGGCTATCAATATGGTTTACTGAACTATTTAATTTATTTTATTTTTTCACAACCATTCATACTGGATAGTTTTGAAAAAGGTTTTTGGTCCTTAAATGAATGGCCGAATGGCTATTTGATCTTAAGTAACCTATGAAAAAGCAATGCATTTAAATATTTTATGAATGATTTCATCGCTTAGTTATTATCATGTTATTTTTATTATTTTTATATCACTATTCTATATTATTAAATTTTTCGCGAAAACGTAAATTAGCGCTGCTTAAGTTTCAAATAGAAACCTTTCTTGTACGAGAACGAACGTAATCTCAGGCGGATCTACGGTGGAGGGCTCTCGGGCTGAAGCCTCCCCCCCCCCAAAAAATGGTAAAATATAACCATGTTTTACAGAAAAAAATATTAAAAACTATCTTTTAAAGTATTCTTGTTCGTTTAATTACATTTAATAGGACTTCAAGAACCACTTAAACACCATTTCATATAGGTAGTTAATTTCTTTCTTTTTTTTCTAATTAATTATCGTTATATGTATATTAAAAAAAAATCTTTCGGGCTGAAGCCCCCACCAAAATTAAATCCTGGATCCGCTAGTGTACGTAATGAACATTTTTTAGTTATAATAGTTGTGAGTTAAAACTGAATTTCACTTTTTTCATATAATTTCGGTATTAAATTAGTTTTTATATGGTTTTGAGTAATTTTTATGTTTTATTTTAACAAGATACTGATAACCATAGTAACCAAAACCCATACTTTTTAAAATATTATTCCAGGTGTCGGATACCGTAGTGGAACCATATAATGCTACATTATCTGTTCATCAACTTGTTGAGAACACAGATGAGACCTACTGCATCGATAACGAAGCTCTTTATGACATTTGCTTCAGGACATTGAAATTACCAAATCCATCTTATGGTGACCTTAACCATCTTGTCTCTTTAACCATGTCTGGAGTGACAACTTGTTTACGGTAAGTAATTTTGTTTGTTATATATGTATTTTTTTTTTATACATATCATTTCATATATTTATGTGAAGAACTTTTGCTATGCTTGAAAGCACATAACCGACCTAGGGGAAGGGTCATTAAATTAATTTTATGAGAAAACAATTGGGACAAAAAGAAAAAAAAATTAAAAGAAAATAAATTATTTATATATGTTATACAATATGCAATGGTGTTGTAAACTATAAACAATCATGGAGATTAAGATAGGAAAAGATATATATGTATACAAATTGAGGAATGTAAAAAAAGAAATACATTTAAAATATATATAATCTTGTAAATATAAAAAAAAAATGGATAAAAGCATCAAACAATCTCTTATTTCTTATGCATCATAGTGCTATGCCAAAAGTGATACTGAATCTTTCCAATTCATAAATAATAAACAAAAAAATAAAATATTTCTCTTTTCTACTTCGGTGCATATTTATTTTCCAATTTATTTATTTTAAGCCAATTTTTAATTTGGTAAACTTAATGACTACATCTTAATTACGTTTCGGCTTGTTGAGCCATTTTCAAGTCTGTCCATTTCGCTTATGGAAGTTACATACATCAATTCGTAATAAAATGTTTTCACTCTTGTCATGTACACCTTTAACATATCATGTGTCACCCACATGTTGTCAGTCTCATTTCTATTCAATGACTGACTTGAGTCAGCTAAGTTTCATTTAAGAAAAAGTGATAAATGATTTGTGATTTTTTTTTTTATCTACCTTTAACTGTGTAAGTTTCTAACCAGACTTATTTATTTATTTATTTGATATGGGATGTATTATAATTTATATATAATAAATAATATATATATATATATATATATATATATATATATATATATATATATATATATATAAAACAACAATTACTTTGGAAGAAAAAGAAAGAAACTAAGTATCTATATGAAATGGTATATAAATGATTCTTGAAATCCTATTATATGTTATTAGACGCACAATAGTACTTTTAATGATATTTTTTTTCATAAAACATAGCTATGTTTTACCATTTTGAGGGCTGACTTCCGCCCAAAAGCCCCTCCTCCTCCTCTCCCTTTATACCCTCCTGTGCAGAGCATAAAGCACCAGGTTCCTATGTCTCTGAAGGTGAACACCTTCTTTCACAAGACCATAATTGTAAGATCTTCCGTTCAAATACCTACAGATCATTTTCATCAACCTTTGTAATTGTTCATGCTTGCGTTCATTGTAAATCGTTCATCAGCTACACTGGTCTAATTAAGTTCTTAGACAATCTGATATTTGTTTGTTTCTTAAATATCTTTTTTGCCCTTGGTTTGGAAGATCGATTTTTCGTTTCTGTATGCTGGGAAGGTTTTTTATTCAAGTTGTCCAATCGGCAAAATGAAATTATTTAGAATAAATAATAGTGAATAATGCCCAGGCAAGTTACATAATGCCAGTTGTTAAAAAATAACCAAAATAAAAAATAAAAGTTCTTTTATTTTTTTAATCAGGATGTTAATTACAAGATTTCTTATACTTTTAAGTTTAAGATTCAGCTTTCATAAAATATTTTATATTTTGCCAAACAGGCACTAAGCTTTAGTCAAACTATTAAATTTGTTTTATTTCATAATTTGCCTGTGACACACCTACACGTATATGTACAGTTTTCTTTTGCATTAAACACTTTTAATATTCATTATGGGATCAATGGTGGACCTTGCTGAGTATCACCACTGAAAAATGAAATTCTATGTTTCTTTCAAAAAGGAGATTTAAATTATCAACAAATTTATTTATTTTTAAAACCCTTCACCTCCACCTAATATTCTTTTGCTGTACTATTACATGTTCTCTTTATTACAAATCTTTGAAAGTTAAAAATGAATTATTTTAGAAATTTGCTTCTCTCAGGTTCCCTGGACAGTTGAATGCAGACTTACGAAAATTAGCTGTGAATATGGTACCATTTCCTAGGTTACACTTCTTCATGCCTGGATTCGCTCCTTTGACATCGAGAGGATCTCAACAGTATAGGTAATAAATAAATTTGACTTATGTGACTACCAAACCGTGTACTGTTTATCTGTGTGATATACTAATGGATTTAATTTTAGGTAATTACCAATCTAGTACAAATACTAATCCAATATTACCATGGTTAGTGTTTAGCTCTCTCCTCCCCAACAAATCGGTATAATATGAACTTCATGAACATATCAATCATGTACCTAGTCCTGTCATGGATATTGTTACAAGGAAATATATACAGATTTCAACAGAATTAATTTTTTCAAAACTTTAATTAGAAAATAAAATGTATATCTATAAAGAGTAAAACAAAAAAGAAATTACTCAAAATGAACCCCTTTTTCCTTGACACAGGCATTTAATCTCCATGGCCAGCCATCAATAGCAGCACACAGCACTTCTTTGGGAAAGCGCTCAACTGCTCGGACCAGGGATTGTTTGTGGCTTTCCAAGTTAAGGTGTGCTCTGTTTCATGTCATCTTCTCCAGTTCGAACCAAAGCTGATAATTTAGTGGGTTGAAATCAGGGCTTCTTGAAGGTCAATCCGTGGCAGAGATAAACTCTGTAATGTTCTTTTGCAGCCACTGCTGAGTTGACCTGGCCTTGTGAGCTGGAGTGAAATCCTGCTGGAAAACCCAATGACTTCCAGCAAACAGAGTATCATTTAGAGGCTTGACAACAGGTTCCAAAATATCGTCCTGATAGTTTTTAGCGGCTGTTTTAACTCCTTTTTCACAAAAATGAAGCTTTGTGGTGCCATAAAAGCAAACCCCCCCCCAAACCATCTCTGAGGAAGGGTGATGACCTCTTTCCACTCTACCAATGACTTCATGGGCTTCTTTGGAGCTGTGTGCATACACACGATCCTGATAGAGGTAAGGATTATCTAAATAATACCCAAGGATATAAACAAAGTTCAACTTTTGTAACAGTATTTATGGCAGAACTAGGTATATTCCAGTTCTATTATACAGGACTTGTATCTACTAGCAGGTATCGTAGATATTGTTTAACGGCATCTTATTTTAGATTCATAAACTCAACTAATCTGTAAAAGGAATCACCTATTATTATACTGTTTTAGTTTAAAGTATTTTGTGTGACAACACTTTTTTGACATCAGGAAATGCTTGTAACAACTCAATACTTGTCTGAGATGGTAATTTTTCATATGTATAGGAGTATATTATATATTGCATATTGGCATATAGGATATATTCCAAACACTATCCCCACTCTCCCATACTCCCCGAGATCCTATAGTTTGCCCTCCCCTAAATAATTTTCATAGGTCAGCGCCTATGCTATTCTCTCTCAACTGTCTTTACTTTGGGCGTATAACAAGAGTGTTTTTGGGTATGTAAAAAATTTATAGATTAAATAGTTGTTTGTTTTTTTCTGATTTTGTTGATTTGTGGTGGTAAATAATTTGAAGCAGATTTGTACAAACCTTTTTTTACAAACGATTCACTGCTCTACTATTTCAAAATTACTGTAATATATTATTTATGCTCAACATATTGACATATTAACACACTAACATATGATTCATGTCATATGACATGAATCACATTTTTATGAGGTAAATTTTAAATTTATTTATTTTAATCACTTTTGGATCTACAAAGCTATTTCAAAATTAATTTTTATTGATTTATTTTTCAAAATAGTTATTATGGATATTTTAAATAGTGTTTTGAATCTTAAAGAAATATCATAGGTTTGAATGTTTTAATAATACTTTAAATTATATTACTTTTTATAATCAAATATATTTTTTTATAAATTGTACACATTCGGATACCTTGAAATCTTATTTAAATAAAATGTTTTTTGTTGTGTACTATAGATTTATTATTTCATTTATAGGGCTCTCACTGTCCCTGAACTCACTCAGCAAATGTTTGATGCCAAGAATATGATGGTAGCATGTGATCCACGTCATGGAAGGTACCTCACAGTAGCTGCAATTTTCAGGTATGAGGAAAAAAGAAGATATATTCGTTTTCGTTTAGTGGATTACTATATTATTATGATTTAAATCGTTTTTATTGATCCTGTGTTCAAGTATGTTTATGTATGGTTTAGTTGCTAATTTGATTTAGTATATCATCAGTTGGTCAATATTTTATATCCTAAAAAATAAATTGGTTTCTTTCATGTAAAATATAATATCTATTTAGAGAAAAAGTCTATTGTAAATATGTCCTGTAAGGTTGAATGTTTTTTTTAGGGGTCGTATGTCAATGAAGGAAGTAGATGAACAGATGTTAAACATTCAAAATCGCAATTCTTCATATTTTGTTGAATGGATTCCCAACAATGTGAAAACTGCAGTGTGTGATATTCCACCTAGAGGCAAGTAATTTTTCTGTGTGCCAATATCTCAACTTAGTATAGGAAAATCAATATTGTTAATGAGACTGATATATTCTTTTATTTCAATTTTACAATGAATGTTTTTAACTTTAACAGAATTAAATAGGGTTGCACCTCAATGTATGCATTTTTTCTATCTAAAGTTTATACTTATTTTAGGCAAAACTTCAAACTTCAACGTTTTTCTAACTAACTATTAAACATACTAATAATAGTGTAACTATACTTAAAATAAAAAAGCAAATAATGCTTGAAAGAGGTGCCTACTGTTTAAGTTTTAACATAAAAAAATCAATACTTTTTATTCTGTTGGTTTGGTTACTACTTTTTTTGTTTTCCCTTCTCTTCAGGCTTTGATTTTTCTTCCTAGATACTAGTATATATATGTATATATTTGTATGTATGTATATATACACACACACATATATATATACTTAATATTTTCCATTACAAATTTTCTTGAGAAGATTTTATTTTAACATAAAAAATCAAATTTTTTTTTCTTTACTTACTTTTGGTATTTTTTCTTTTCTCAAGGTTTTTTTTTTTTTCTTTATATATATAGTTTTTTTTCACTACAACTATAAGTGTTCTTGAGAAGATTTTATTTTTTTTTTCTTAGTTGTTTACATGCTATTATTTAAATTACTGTATATATTGTTAGGATCTTTATTAAGTTGGTTTTTGGTCAGATATGTATTTTTATGTTTATGTATATATGTATATGTAATGCCTATGAAGACTGTGATAAGCCACATCTGGTTCAAGCTTCTTTTCCCAGGTCCATCCATCAGTCTTCCATTCAAACAGTTGAAGCCTGAAATTTTATTATTTTGATTAACTACATCAATAACTATTTCTAATTATTTTTATTGCTAATATTTATATCTTATGGCTGTTATACAACCTATGTTTTTCTTAGGCCTTGTATGGAACATATCAGGACTGACTAGCTAGGATACTGGTGAGTCCCTTGGTCAGTCACTTTATATAAGAAATTGAATGTAAGAGACCAAAGAGATCGACCACACCACCACCAAGTTATGTAATGACATGTAACCAGGTGTTGATCTGGGCACTCTTTTTATTCTTCTGTATTCATTTTCTTAGATGAGTCACCAAGTGAATCCCCTTGTCACCAGTCCCATGTCTTAAATTATTTAGTCTTCTTGCAATTTTTAAAAACATTTTATACCTATTTAATTAATTTTTTCCTTCACTTTATTAAACCATAATCCAAGATCCGTAAAGAAGACCTTTTGTATTTATTTTTTGGTCCTTATTGTTTTTGTTAGCTGTCAGTGACCAAGGCTCAAATATGTCTATATGAGCCTTGTTTATATACTAGTGAGACTAACCAATAACTGAGTATTAGAAATTCATTCATTATTTTTAATGCCCAAATTGTAATTGTTGATGTGATGTTTACAATATCACTGCTTTAAAGATTAATTATTTAAATAAAAACATTAGTTTTGTATTAATACAATTATTTGATTATACATATATATACTGAGATGAATTGTAGTTGATAGTATGAAAGTTATGTGGGGTAATAAATGACTGATATTGCTAGCTATGTATCATCAAGTATATTTTTTATACCACAGTTTATTCAATGAGAATAATTTGATTGTACGTGTTATGATTTCATATATTATGATTTTAGGCCTCAAGATGTCATCCACATTTATTGGTAATACAACAGCTATTCAAGAACTATTTAAAAGAATATCTGAACAGTTTGGTGCAATGTTCAGAAGAAAAGCTTTCTTGCATTGGTATACTGGAGAAGGTATTTTTTATTTTTTTTTATTTTTAATAAATACAAAATCTAGATTGTAGTGTTTATTATAGAATAAGTTTTACATCAGTTGAACTATATTACTTGTTAATAATTTGTAATATATACTTTTGTTTTATAAATTTCACATTTATAGTTAAGATGAATTATTTATTTCTTTGTATTTTTGTTTCTATCCTTACTTCAACTGTTGGTTAATTGTACCTATTTAATGATAATAAAATGTATGAAATTTCCTATTTCAATTTTTATATTTTGAATATACTGTTTTTGCTGATTGAAGTTTGATTTAGGTATGGATGAAATGGAGTTTACTGAAGCTGAGTCAAACATGAATGATTTAGTATCTGAATACCAGCAATATCAGGTAAAATTTATAAGTTTTAAATAAAATAAAATATTAATTTATATCTAAGATATAACATTTTATTTATTATTTATTTAGGCTCTACTCCTATTAGGGTCATTGGCTTATTGTCTCCATTTTATATTCTTTATTAGACCTTTGGATTGATGTGTTCCATTTTATACATTTTTTTAATTTCTTGAAGTTTTGCCGAACTCATGTCCCATTTCCGTAAGATATGAAATTATATCAAATCAAATCTGTATCTTTTTTTAAAATAAGAAGATATAAATTTATCCCTAAATTTTTTATTCCATTTGTACATACTATCATTATTTTAACATTAGAATAATTATTCATCAATTCCCATTTTGAGAAAATTAGAATTTAATTAAGTCATCATTTCCGTCTGTTTTTATTTCTTATTTCTCTAATAATGATTCTGCTGTAAATGATACTACTGAAATTTTAAATAAGTTAACTGAAAATTTATCTGGGATAAGGTCTAGATCAAATGGGATATTATGGTCATTATGCAGGATTTTATTAGTCGCATAGAAGGGAGCATCAACTATTCTTGACTATCTATCGATTCTTGTCTGAGCATTAAAGGTTACTGCAGTTGAATTCTCCAGCCAGGGAAAATTCATATAGTAGTAGCACTCCAGCCAGATAGTAAATAATAGAAAATGCCAAAGTATAAGTTATCTTATTTTAATATAAAGGCAATAGGAGAGCCTTTAAGGCTCATGTTATCTTACATGGGAAAAGAATTTGAAGATTGTCGAGTTATCCCAAAAATCAATTTACCAGAAATGTCACTTAATAGTTTATAAAATTTTCTTTAATCTGCCAATTTTGACAAAATTTGTTATTTTGATGTAACATTAATTATAATTTAATACAGTTAGGTCTTGTCCTTATTGAAATAGCCTAACAGAGCTTGAATGCCACATTTTCAAGATTTCTTCTTCTAATGCACCTGTAATTTTAATTATTAGAAATAATTAAAGATCTCTCATTTTCAGTAGTATTGCAAAATAAATAAATATGAATTATCAAAGGATTTGTTGATTAACTAAAAAAGTAAATGGGAGAAATATTTTCAGCATGACATACCAAAAATTTATAGTTCATATAATTTTATATCAATTCTCATAAGTTTGTATTTATAACCAAAGTAATATTCTTAAAGTTTATTAACTTAAAAAAAAAGTTTCTAATGAAAGTGTGAAGCATCACACTAGATTTTATTTATTTTTAAAATAGTTAAAATAAATTTTTAGCTTTTATCTTAAGAAAAATAATAATGGTACAAGTTATAGTAAACTTTGATAAGCATAATTGGTATTTAGATTAATCTCTAAATTATTCATTTTTATAATATTTAGTGAAAATATATTAGGTTTAAAATATATTTTTTGATTTAGGAGGCAGTTGTTGATGAAGATGATGTGTATGCTGATGATGGTGGTGAAGAGGAGCAACAACAGTATGAGTGAGGTTTTTTTTTATTATTAATATGACTGTCTGCAGATATAAAACTTGTAAACTATGCATCGATGTTCCATATTTATTAGCTCAAATGCATTCATTATTATTACCATTTCTTAGGAAAAAATAGTTGAATTTTATAGTGCCGTATAACCATGGTCTAAATAGGAAGAGGCAAGCTTAATTTTGCCATGTGCTCCAATAAAAATCAACATTTTATATTCATATTTTAAGTAATGTATTTTGATATAAATATCATAATCAGGTAATATTGATTTGTGTCATTGACTGAATTATGGTTAAATCAATCAAAAAATAGAATATATATATATATATATATATATATATATATATATATATATATATATATATATATATATATACAGGGGTGCCCATTCCCCCCCCCCCAAGTCCTGTGATACTTAAATTTTTCCCCATCACTCTCAAGATATTTTATTGCTCTCTTCTTATTAAAAAAAGTGCAAACAAAAGTAGAATTTAAATATTCATAGACTGTGTACAGTTACACATCCTACGGTCTGTTCCATGCTTCCACTTTCCATTTGTCTTTTGATTTGAAACTTTTCATTTTAAAAAAATGTATAACCCGGTTGAAATGTGTCCCCTTCAAAAATTTTGATGGCACAACTTGCGCTATGAATCCCTCTTTTGGACACCCTTGTATATATATATATATATATATATATATATATATATATATATATTATATATATATATATATATATATATATATATATATATATTGTTTTTTACTTCAGCTAAAAAAATTCTCAATTATTATTTTTATTTTCAGTTTAAAAAATGTAAACAGATTATTGACAGTTTTTGCAGTAAAGTAGAACTTAATAAGTTTTAAAACCCCTCACCTTGATATTCTTATTTAGCTACAATTTTTTATATTGTATTGCATGATGAAAAACAATAACTTAGAAATTTTATTTCTTAGTTACTTGAATGTATTTTTAATGGATTGTTTTCAGTTAAGTAAGCACACTAACTAATAGTTTGTAATATTTTCTTTCAGTTAATACTATTGATGGAGTAATTTGGAAGACGGACCAATAATTTAAAGAAGGAAAGATACTCCTATTTATTTTATATATACGTTGCCTGCACATTTTTATTTTCATTATTTTTGTACATGCTGAAATAAACAATTATTTATTAAAAATGTTTTATTTATTTATTTATTAATAGTATGCTGTGTTTTTAGTAACCCAATGTAATTGGGCAGCACTCTTTTATGGTAATAAAATGATTCTCTCTCTCTCACATAATATACATTAAAATTTTAGCTTTTCTCGCTGTCCTGCGTATAACAGAAAGAGCAGTGATTCTCTAAAGATAGTTCAAATTTAATGAGGTTTAACACATTATTTATTATAGTTTCAGAGAAATGAATCCAGCATTTAAAACTTCAGATATATATGTAGAAAGATTGTAAATTTCATGCCCTGGCATTTGGCAGTAAATGAGTGATTGTATAAATTAATGTATATATTGCAAAAAATACAGCATTTTAATTGTTTAATGCATAATGCTTACTCGAAAAGTGATAGCTTTAAAAATTACACTGTATAAAAAAAGATAATTAGTTAATAATTAAAATATATTATTCCAACAATTTATTAGTAACAGAAACTTTTATTAAATTACATCACATTTTTATTATATGCAACATTTCTGTTTATTTTGGTCATTTTCAAATATAACATTTTTATACTGTTTTCCAACTATATCTAAAGCTTTCATTTTTGGACTTTTATACTAGAAAAACTGAAAATTCCTTTAATAATAATACATATTTTATATCTTAAAATTAAATCAAATAGAAATATTAAATTGCATATAAAATTTTTCAGTTAAACAGGAATGTATATTTTATTTATATCTATGTTTTTGAAAAAAAAAAAAAAAAAACAGGGTTTTATCTATTAACTGTTTAATTTTGTAAAATAACATTTTTAGTATCTTATTTTTTATTTATATAATATTAAATAAATGGGTAACCTGATGAAAAGTGAAAATCACAAATAACATTTTATGTTAAAATTCATTTTATTAATATTTATAACTCGTTATTTTGAAATTCTTTATGATTTATTGTATTACATTTAAGGCTAAGTACTTCTTACTAGACAAAAAAAGTATAATATCTAAAATATATATATATATATATATATATATATATATATATATATATATATCCTATATACCAAAAAGTATTTTTAACTAAGGCAACATCATCAAAAATACATTGTTTTATGAGAAATTTTTCAGTATGAACTTTTAGCTAGAATATGTAAAAAGGATATCAGTTAGAATATAAATTCTTTAGTACCCTGGAATCAAATCAACGCACTTCCACTGAACTCCCGCTGAGTAATATCAAACTTTTAAAGTCTTCATAGAACACTTTAGATAGCAATTAGAAGCCATTACCCACAAAAATTGAATGATAGGTTCTTTTGGATTTTTACATCCCATACTTTAAAAAGAACTTTTAAACATCATGGAAACAAATCATCAGACGAAAACTATATGAAATTCAAAGAAAACTGAATATGCTTCAATGATAGTCAGTGATAATAGTATAAAAAAAAAAAAATCTATTTCTAAAACCTTAAAAAGACACCTACATGAAGCTTTCCACTACACCTATTCATTTATTTTTACTCCGAACATCAGGGACTGAAATTTACTCCTATTTGGTCTCTATGTGAATGTAAATTATGATTTAAAATAAATAAAAGTCATAATTTGATTTTTTTTTTTTTTTTAAATCAGAAAACAAACATAATATTTTATTTTTGTAGTTAGATCAAGAATTATCAAAAGAAGTCTTAAGCAATAACACACAGGCACTAAATTGAACTATAGATAGAGTAATGCCGGAGTTATTTGTAAACTGGTGGGTCCGAAGGCCTGCTCGCCCTAATCTAACTATTTCACACTCTACAGTGAGAGCTTAAACGAACTTTTAAAAATTTTACTTCGGCATGTTTTAGATCACACTAACAATTTACATGTAAAAAGGATGCTGTTGGGGCCAGGGGTACTTCAAAATCGAAGTATAAATCTTTCTCCGGTGCGTTTCCTCAATGGTGGGGAAAATTAGAGTAAATTTAAAAATGTTGGGAAAGAGGTAAAAAAAAAGAAGAATAAAATGAGACCTGTAAAACATAAAAAAAATGTGCATGCACAAGAAAATATTAAAAATAGAAATATTTCAATAAATAAAAAAATGGAAAATAAAAAATCCCCTTTTGAATGTTTACAATTTATTGAGATAAAAAAAAAAAAGATCTAATTAAGTACAAAAGTTAAAATAAATATTGGTGTAAAGTTGCGAGAAAATAAAACATAAATATAATATGCAGATAAAATAAAAACAAATTAACCATTATTAGCAAAATATAAATAAAACCAACTTCCAAAAATTATAGATAAAACTAGAGAAAAAAATAGCTGTCCAAAATAACAAAACTAATTTATTGAGAGAAACAAAAATTAAATTAATGTTCAAATGTCTTTGTGATGGTGAGAATATAAAAAAAAACGACCCAAGTTGGAGGTTCTGCTTCCAATCTGTTACCTTCCGATATCTAGCTGTCAAGTAATCGATGGTGAGGTGGTATCGATCTCGATCGATTACTCGGCTGCGCCCAACAGCTGATCTTCGAAAATGGCGCTAGACTGGTGAGTTGAGGTGAAGTGAGTCTGGACTGGTGGGGCTAGACATCTACTACTATATCGACAAAGGCTAGTTCCAGACTGGCGACCCAACAGTATTATCGCAGTATTTGTGTCTTAATCCCTAAGACAGGGTATTACTGCCGGGCTGGGGCGTATACAAAAACGCGATAATACATCGCAAAATAAGCTTAAATCTATAAACAGTGTACACCAAAATAAATTTTTGGGATAATATCCCTCGACCTATTACAAAAAAAAAAAAAATGAACATTTATTCAATTATTAACATTTAAAAGGGGTTATTGGTGAGAAAAAAAATATATGAGCGTATGCGGCGTTAACAGATGCTATATTGAATATTTAATAGCTGACCGTTGCATTATAAAGGAAGGAGATGGTCCGGGGTGGGGGTCATAAATGAGCTGAATAGTGGCAAAACTATTTTATTAAAAGCCAACGTTTCAACCCGACTTTGCAGGTCTTCTTCAGGGCTAGAACGGACAAGAGATGCAATTGGATATAGAAAATCGTAGAAGTTAAATAATATTTAGATACAAATTATAAACAAGGTGAATAAACTTATTGAAATTATAAACTACGTTAAAAAAGTACATTGAAATATTAAGATCAATAAGCTATATAAACAGAGTAAGTTAAGTAACAAGATCCTAAACTGAAGTAAATAGATGTGACAATTGTTGTAGTATAATTATACAATAAGTTTATTCACCTTGTTTATAATTCCTATCTAAACATCATGCAACTTCCACAACCCTCCATATCCTTTTGCGAAAGGAGGGTTGTGGAAGTTGCATGATAACTTTGCAGCAGTAACCGTGTCCAATTGTATTGTCTGTATTATTATCTGATATATTTTTTTAAATGTTTGAATACTTCCAATATCACAGAATTTCAAATTAATAATAAATAAGCATAATTGGGATCTATTTAGATAAAGATTTATGAAAAAATTGTTTAATGTGTTTGTAGTTGTTTTCTGTGGTTTTTCTGTAAATTGAAAATGAATACAGAGATCTAGATCTTTCTGAAAGATTAAAAAAAAAAGAACTTCTAGGAGGGATTCTTCCATTATATGCCTAAACTTGGCTCCACTTTTCAAACACACAAATTCAAATATGATCTAAATCAGATTCTTTTTGTTTCATTAATACCATAATAAAGCAGGGAATAAATTTCACACTCCTTTAAGTAGGCAAAAAACGCAGAATGTCCAAGCACGTATGAAAACGGAAATAAATTTATTTTGAGCTTAATATTTTAAAATTGGTAGCATTTTCATTATAAGCCCCCTCGATAACTTAAAAATCGACATCAGTGCCGAGGATATCCGAAAAGTTGTAATAAATCAATACCTGAGTTCAGAATCTTAAAATCCATTGCATTTTCACAAAAAAACGATCTCAATAACTTAATGATCGACTTCTATATGGAGGATATCCGAAAAATTATAATAAATCGATTTTTACTTATTAATTGAAAAACAAAACTCAAATCATGTTTTCTTTTCACTTAGAGAGAAAACAAGAGTTATTTTAAATTCCTACCTAAAATCTTTGATGAAGCAAAGCACGACACGATATATCTGTTTATTTATTCTAGTTTGAAAAGGTTTTAACGATAGTGGAATAGAAAATCTTCTTCCTTTTTTTAATTATCGACAGATGCAGCTTCCTTAGTAAATCGCTATTGCCTTAGTAATGCCTATTCATTAAATGGCATTACTAAAAAGATTTGAGATTATTTTTCGAAATTAAATTCATTAATTAATCAAATAAAAAATATTTCTAAAAGAGGTAAATTTCTAAATACTTTGTATCCACCATTACCTTCGTTCACAAAACGGAATATATTATGCCAAGCATTGGAACCAATATTCGGAAATGATTCATTCGTCAATTAAAAAAAGAAATCGGAGGTGATTGCGTAGAGATTTTGGATAAAGCTGTTAAATCAAAAGAATAAACAAACCTTGTTAGATCATTGACATTGGTTGACCTTTTTAGCAGATTCAATCGAAATATAATGCTTACTATTAAATGAACGATTATCCAACGTCAATGGTGTTACCTGAACTGAGAGTTTCAATAAAATCTTCCTCCAGTCGAGGTAGGTTATGAGCATTATATTGGTGAGATGGATAATGTTTAAAATAAAAATAAATGTATAAGGTTGAAATAAAATTATCTTATATATTTAGCAAGAACATTTTTTTTTTATATTACTTGCTTATTAATAAATATTACAATCTGTCCCAATTAAGGACACTTATAATAGAGTTTTAACATAGAGCACATTCACACCATATTTACAGAACCAAAAATAAATAAAGTAATTACAAAATAATATACAGCGAAATAAGAAAAAATAAAATATCATAATGAGGGAAGAAAATAATAATAGTAATAAAATAAAATAAATAAATAAAATAGAATTAAAATGTTCTTAAAAAAT